ACACAATAACCCATATAGAACCCACTAGCACCCTGCACCACTGCCCTGTGCTTAGTGACTACATGCCGGAGGTTACTCAACGGCATTCGTCCGTCAGACCCGCAGCCAGGGTTTAACAACACGACTTCCAACATCACTACCCGACGAACTGTGCACTGGCAAAGCTGTAACTGTCCCTGGTCTGAGTCGCTTGGCGGACCATGAAAGTTGTGCAACAGTGCAAGAACTACGGAAGGAGTCAGATTCACAGGTTCTAGAACAAAGAAGGCAAGTGGCTCTCAACCAAACTGAGGCAATTCAGATAAGCTTACTGACTCGCATGGCTCTCGGTATCATCATTCTCTAACACTCCACAGGCCCACAAGTGCAAGTACAGCATAACTTACAACATGCGACTCCGGTACTGCATCACTCATGTGGGTCAGTCGGCAGTGTCAGAGGAGGCAGGTGAACGTTCCCGCCACGCTGCCTCTTCGGATTCCCTGCGTCGCCTCACATCCTTCTCATACTGCGCCCGTCGTGCAAGGTCTCGGAAAACACTGGGCCCGTACTTGTCCACAATCTGCGTGTCCGTGTAGTATCCCCGCTGCCACTTCAGGTAGACCTCGGCCTTCGCGTTGTCAGTCATCGTCAGGTAGCCCTCTATGCATTGGAGAAGGGAGGCATCATCTTTGTCCATAGCTGTTTCCATCTCCTGTGGCGGGACGGCCCGGTCCTCTTTGGCCTGCACTGTTTCGACATCACTGTCGTCGGAGCCGCATTCCTCGTGTGTCGGTAGTTGTGTCCACCCTTTTGACAGGAGAAAGCGGAATCCCATCAGTGTTGAGGCACCGTACCGGAGCTCCACGAGGTCATCTGCCATGTTACCTTGGCACCATTGCTGGAAGGACCCTTTGAACTCCGAGCTTCTGAGCATGTTTTTCCACCCAGGTCCAAGGAAGCGGTTTCGTAGATGATGGCCAAGCGCCAAGTCCCCCTGCTCTGGAAGGCAGGTGTCCGGCAGCGTGCCCATCGCCTCGATCTCTTGGTTGGTCCTGAAAAAGAGAAGGAGGTCCTTGCCCCCGGCCTCCAGGACCGGCATTTCCTGGCTCGGGTTCGCCTTCCACGCTTCGTATAGCCTTTTGGTCTCGGGGTCGTTGAGGCGGATGACTTTGGGAGGGTCCGCGCTGCCATCATGTTGGTCAGGTTGGTGATGTCGTAGCCGGTGTTCTTCCTCTGCTAGGGCCATCCTTGCATCTTTGGGCTCCACTCTGTTGGACCCCTTCCGAAACGTCTCCAGCGAGTTCGTGAGGCTCATCGCAAGGGTAATCTCCTCTTCTTCGTCAATCTCAAACTCGGTGTACTGACTGCGACCCTTTGCTTTAACCTCCATACGAAGCCTCAGTCTCTTTTTGGCTGGGCCCCAGCTCCAGCCCATATGGGCTTGTAACGCAGCCCTGTCCTCCGCCATGGCTTCCGAGGCCTGTTGTTGTTGTCGATGCCATTCGTACAGGGCCTCATCTTCCTCTCTTTGGCGGCTCTCCTCAGCCTCTCTGGCCTCCTGCTCCAACATGGCGGGGTCAAACATGACGGTCTGGTTGGAGCTGGCCGCGGCGTGGCTGGGTATTGCTCTAACCAGCCTGCTTTTCCACTTGTTGACCCAGACGATCTGCTCGCATAGGGCCTCTCCCGTAGGGTCACACTCCTCGCCCTCCGCGTTTGCCGTCAGGACTGCGTGGATGGCCGGCCAGTCCTGGATGTGCTGCTGTAGCGGGAGTAACTTGTCCATCAGTCGCCTTGCTAGAGCCGCGGCTTCTTTCTGTGGAAAGGCTTGCAGCTCCTGGTGTAGAGCACTTTTGTCGTTCCTGATGGCTTGTTCATTCTTTGTCATTTTCAATGCCCCCGTGATGGAACGCTGCATCAGGTTGGTGCTGTCCTCGTCCGGGATGTCGGAGGTCTCGCTCGGGCCCGGTCTCGACGAGCTTGCGCCACTGTTTGCTTCCTGTAGAAGCCCTTAGGGTTCAGGGTTTAGGGTCCAAGGTTAAATGCTTCATGAGTTTAGGGTTTAGAATGAGGTTGCCCATTAAAGGTTCTAAAAAAGGCTCGATCAGGATTACTGCAAGGGCTTAGTTTCGGAGTCTGACTAATTCTCATGGAGATTTGCAGGGCGATTATCAGGCTTCTATACAAGGGCTTTACAAGGGTCTATTGGGTTAACATTGGTGCTTTAGGAGATGGAAATGGGTTTTTGAGGTGGGTCGGACTGAACGTCTGGGCGATGCAAAGTGAATTGGAGTGACAGGTGCACCCTCATGAACAGAAAACCTCTCAAAGCAAACTCTTCCACCAACGTTTCTCTACAACGGCACTAGAAAAGGGGTCAGTGAAGCGCTTAGAACTTGGGGGATGTAGGGTTTGGGGTCTTAGGGTTTTCATGGCGCTTGAGGGTTTGAGCGTTTGGGGCTTTAGGGCTTGCGGCGTGCAAGGTTTAGGGCTTTAGGACTTGGGGGTCTGATGGATTACGGGTTGCGGGCTTGTGGGCTTGAGGCTGTTAGTTTAATTAGGGGGAACCTTTATACCCTAAACCCTTAAAAATGCACCGCAGGGCGCTGCTCTAACAAGCTTTGAAGCTCGTCAGTGCCGGACGTCTAGTTGTCTCAAATTCCCATTGCCCCTGCCTCAGCCAAGCCTGTCAAGCACCCTAAATCTTAGAATCTGAAGCCCTGAGTACCCAAGCACGCTCTGCGAAGCACAAGGCAGCTAAATGCAAAATCTAAAGCCCAAGGATCCCAACCTAAAGCCTTGCAAGTCAAAGCCCTGCCCTAAATCCCTAGATCTTAGGGCCTGCTGACAATTAAGGGTACGCACAAGGGATTCATATGGGGGCCTGAAGAATTCGAATAAGCTTTCGGGGTGGGTTCTAGTATCAGCTACCCATGAACCGAACCGGCCTGCGTAGCAAGCATTCAGAGTCGCCTGGAGCCCTGGTAAGGTAGGCTGCAAACCTTCATTGTCGCTGGGAAAGATGCGACCCTTACGTAGGAGTCAATGATTAGAGTATGATCAGGGTTGAGTACGCAGCTTAATAACTAGAATCGGGTTTCGGGGTCCAGTAGACTGTATGAAACGTAAGGACTAATCATACTAGTTACTGCATCCCGCCAAAGTACGCTGCTATGGATCTTCTTGTGGCGTTAATCAGGAATTTTGGGGGGTTGCAACGAATGAGTTTTCAGGTCGAGGGCTTCTTCTTGTTCCCATCGTTGCACGATTGTATGCTCTGTTGGGCCATGAACTGCTAGAGTATACTACAATAGGGGTTAAAACATTGCTGAACCGGACTTGGGGTGCCGGGTTCCGCAGTGGATTTGCCATCCCCTGTTAGGGTGTAAGGGTTTGGGTTTAGGGACTAGGCTACGCTGCATGCAAAGCGCGGCAGTGCAGGGCACTCTTTCACCGGGATAGCTTGAGCGCGGAACACACTACGACCAGCTACAGCTAAACACTGACGAAAGAGGCCTAGCCCTAGCAGGAGACTTCCAATTGCCGCACGACGGGTCCCGGAAACGGGGTTCCGGTCTAGGATTTAGGTTCACCGTTCATCGCTTATGGTTCTAGGTCAGGGTTTGTGGCTCCGGGCTTTACCGTCGTATAATAAAGGGGGGCCTTAGTATTTCGCCTCGGCCCCGGCCGAAGCGGTCAGAGGTTCCTATTCCGATTCCCCTTTATTCCTCACCTCCCCAGTCACCCCAGTGACCACCCCGAAAAAGTGGCCACCCCCCACCCCCCCTTAAAAATGGAAACGTGTCTAGTAGGCCCAAGGTCCGCCCGTGAATTCTCGCCTTTTCCAACGGATTTTGGCTCTCTGTAGGCAGTTCCCCTTCCCTTCCCCCCCCGCCCGCGTCCCCCCCCGCCCCCTTCCCCGCCCCCCGATTCATTATGCTCACTCCCTGCCGTGGCCCTGTTCCCTTCCCCGGCGCCAAGGCTTGCAACACTGTGAGAGTTTCCGACGACAGGGGACTGTAATGTAGTATGTTTACTTGTTGTATTAGGTTTGGGGTTTAGATGGTGCCAGGGCTGAGGGTTTTAGACCATCTAAGAAGGTACGCAAATGTTGGTGTCGTGCCGAAGTTTCTCTTAAGGTGTCTTTCCGTATGTATGTGGTATGAAGGATTCCCTGAAGGATTAGGTTGCAAAAGATTTAGATCGTGAAGTTTGCGAGGTTATCAGACCATCTTACAAAAACACGCTAAAAGCCCCTACTCTAGACCCCAAGCCCTAAAAGCCCGAAACCACGAATACCTCACACGGGGGTGCCCTGGCATATGCGAGGGCTGTCGAAGATCTGTGCGGCGCTTGTACCAAGAAACTGCTAAACCCTATAGTTAACTGTAACTAAGAAATATACCTTAAATGGTTATAAGACCCTTCGTATGATTTGGAGCCCTTTGAGACCCCTGTCAAAGAACCCTATATTCCTATATTCCTGCATTAAGAGATTCCGGGTACAGTGCAGTATCATTCGGATGGCGGGCGGCGCGAAGCGTTTCGAATTAGAATAGGGTTTGGGTGCGTGTTATGCTATAACTATAACAAGGAACTCCCAAATAGTATTGGTAGTTATTTAGGCCTCTAAATAACACGAAGCATCCTGCGACTCCGAGTGCGCCGCTTTTTTGCAGTAGATCCTGCAGAATCGCCAGCGCCTCGCGGCAGAAGCCACTAGTGATTATGATGACATGAGTTGTAAACTTGCATCATAGCACTAGTGTATACTGTATACTACATTACACATTACGTATTGTAGACTGCCGCATTTTATGCTGTACATATATATGTTTATCTTTTTCATTATATTCACGATATACTACACATTATATATCATGTATGCCTACGTTCACAGCGAAGGCTCCACAGACAGGAACCCCAAATGAAAACGTGCGCCTGAATCCAGGCTGTCCCACGCTCGCAAGCCCCGGCTGCAACTCCTGCTGCCAAGGGGTCAAGGCTCCCACCACGGCCTGGGAGTTCGGGGCTTCTAGGGTTTCGAGTTTAGGTGTAGGGTTTAGGGTTTCGGGTATAGGGTATAGGGTTCGGGGGGCTTTTGGTTTCAGATGCGGTTTAGGGGCGTCTGTAGGGTTTTGGACTCACAGTGTTCCCGGGTTTAGATTCTCGGCCTTGGAATAAGCTTCCGGGCTCCTGCCAAATCCCTAAACCCTATACAGCCCATTCACCATACACTAAACCCTCAGCCCCAAACCACAAACTGTACACACTCCGCGCCGCACCCTGCGGGCTTGGTTTAGAGTGGGAGGAGAGGGGGAGGGGTCGGAGTTTTGAGTTCAGCATGGGGTTCCGGGCTCCGGGTTCGATTCAGGCTGGGCTAGCGGCGTGAAGTGTTATAGTACTGGTTGGTGTTTAGGGTTTCGTGTATAGGCAGTATAGGGTTTAGGGATTAGGGTTTACTGTTCAGGATTTAGGGTGCATTTTGGGAAGTTCAAGGGGCGGGAGTTGTAGTTTGCACTTGTGGCGCACGGCAGCTAGCGCAGCCGTCAGCTTTTTATGACATACAGGCTTTGCTGCAGCTTTCGCAGAGGTCGACCGTCGTCCTACTTCCAGAGTCTGTGTGAGCCAACATGGGCTCCAGGTTCCGCAGCGCGCTCGTAGACCAGCCGACCAGCAACCAGCACAGGTGAGAAGAAGCTTCTCGTTGGTGCCGTCATGGGGCCAGGACCCGTTCTTTGCAGCTCCATGCGCCCTAAACCTTGATTCAAACCTACTATAAAGACACTAAACCTCCCTACAAGGGCCAGTGGCGCCGTGGCCTCTTCAAGGCCATCCGGAGAGCCGAGCTTTGGATTCCGCCGGGGGCGTCGCGCGCGGCTTTCTGCAGCAGCCGCTCCGCGTCCAGATAACCGAAGCCAGGCTCTGCTGCAGTTTCCTGGGCTCTTGAGGGTTAAGGAAGATTAGGATTTAGGGTTTAGATTGTTGATGCAGTTTCGAGCTACCGTAACTTGCGTTATCCTAGCAGAACCGTTGTCGTCAAAGCTAATGGCAACTAGTTAATGAACTTGATTGACTCAGCAGCCTCGTCGAGTCCGGCCTCCTTGCTGCGCTGCAAAAGGCGTGCGACTTCCAAGTGGCCTCTCGCGATGGAGATCTGAATCCTGGGCTCTTCTTGGGCGATCTAACTTAAGTTACCGTAATATAGGGATCTATAATGGTTCCTTTAAGGGATTTACACGGGGTTCCTTTGAGGGTTTAGGGTTTAAGGTTGAAGTTACCACAAGGGTGATCTATAGCAAATAATATGGTCTTCGTATTATGGTAGCTACCCAGAGTCGGGGTCGTGCCCAGGTAAGGCGTCTTCTCCATGTCTGCGTCGGAATGCAGCAGCAAACGGACGACTTCCAAGTGGCCCTTTGCAGCAGCAATCCAGAGAGGCGAGATGCCCGAGATGCTGGTCTTTTCCTTATTAGCACCGGCCTGGAGGAGCAGCTGCACAACATCAACATGACCCTTCCGTGCTGCAAACCAGAGAGGAGAAGCGCCTTCGTAGGTCAGATCGATATCAGCGCTCGCGTGCACCAGCACTCGCACAGTCTCTGCATGGCGCCTTGCAGCTGCCAACCAGAGCGGGCTGGCGCCTCGGAAAACCCTGTCCCTGTCCGCGCCGGCTTCCAAAAGGAGCCGTGCACAGTCGCTGCTGCCATTGCGGGCAGCGGTGGCCAGGGGGGTGTCCCCATCGTCGTCCGCAAGGTTGGGATCCAATGGCTGCTCCAGGAGCATCTCCATTCTCTCCGCCAAGTCCTCACGGCTGGCAGCCAACAGCGCTTGGACCTCCTCCGCCGCGGCCTCACAGAACTGCACCTAAACCCTAAACCCTAAACTCTGAACCCTAAACCCTAAACTCTAGACTCTAAGCCCTAAGCCCTAAATAAACCCGGCCTCACAGAACTGCAGAATCACAACCTGCAGGTCCAGGAAGAGGCCCAAATCCTCAGCTCGCGCTCAACAGCAAAGAGCAGACCCAGAGTCTCCAAAACCCCTTAATTAAGGAATATACCTTAAATCATATCATGGATCCTACTATACTTTAAGGTATATTCCTTAATTAAGGGGTTTTGGAGGCTCTGGGGAGTTCCTCCATACATACCCAGACCCCCGGGAGGATCTAGAAAGTAGATCCGCACTTTATAGGAACCCCCATTAAGGGATCTACTTTTTGGATCCTCCCGGGGGTCTGGGGAATGATGATCTGATCCTGTGGAAATAAATGACAACAGAGATTCTGCCGCGGATACTAACACAGGTCATAGCTATCAGGGTGACTATAATCAACACACTAATACAGCAGCAATCATAACACGTATAGTAGCAAAAATGGAACAGCATTTTTAATCTTGATATTAACAACAAAAACGATCATGGAAGTCGTTGTCGTCGTCCCCTAGTTTCCCTTACAACACCCTCATAGTAACCCTTTAAAGGAACCCTAGGGTTTCCCCTAAGTTTCGCAAACTCCAATATGGGAGTTTCCGAAAATATAGTACCCAAAATGGTAGGATCCCTATTACAAGGAGGTGCCCCCAAATTTCCGGAAACCCTAAACCCTGCTAAAGCCCTTTAAAGGAGCTCTTATAGTACCCTTATAGCAACCCTAAGGAACCCCCCAAGTTTCGGAAACTCCAATATACAAACATCCTCCAATATACAAAAATCAGAGGCTCGGAGAGCTTCTGGCAGTCCTCAAGGAGGTCTCCCTGGCGAAGCCTGAGTTCTTCCTAAGGGGACTTAAACTAAGTTACCATCGTAGGGATCAAAAACGGATCGTTTCAGGGATCTGCAAGGGAACTTTTGGGTTTAGGGTTTAAGGTTCTAAGTTACCATCATCGGGATCTATAATAAAAAAATTGGTATCCTTATTATGGCACCATATTATTTACTATAGATCCCTTTCATGCCAACTTAAATTATAGTGAGCCCCAGACAGTTGGCTTAAGGGAATGCGGATAATGATGTTCCAACTTTCTGGCTTCTACTGTACTTGCTATGGGTTAGTCGGGAATGGAGGAATGGGGTACAGTTATAACTGCTATTACTACCATTCTTCCATTCCCTACTAACCAAAGGTAAGCGTACATGCAAAGGAAACTCTTTAACCTTATTACGGTACCATATTATTTACTATAGATCCCTATCATGGTAACTTAAGTTAAATGCAATTTAAATCCCTTAACAAAAACCAGCAGCAGGCGCAGGCGAAAGCGCGAGGCGGCAAGCCGAGGCTCGAGATGCACCTTCCGAGGATTTTCGGGCTTCAAGTTCTCTAGGTTAGGGTTTGGGGTAGAGGTTTAAGGGTGTCTAGATTAGGGCTTGGGGTTTAAAGGGTTTGAGGTTCTCTAGATTAGGGTTTAGGGTCTGAGGTTCTCTAGATCGGGATTTCCAGGCTTAAGGTTGTCCAGACTAGGGCTTGGGGTTGAAAAGGTTTGAAGTTCTCTAGATTAGAGTTCAGGGTTTAGGGTTTCAGGATCTCTGGATTAGGTTTTAGGGTTTGAGGATCTCTAAAGTTAGGGTCTTTTTTGTAGGGATTTTAGGGCTTAGGGTTCCGGGGGGCGACTAAATGGGCCACTATACTGGTTGTGCGGCTTATGTGCAGTAGGGCTGAGGCTTTGAAATTTGGGAGTCTGGGTTGTGGGCTTGAGCTGTACTTACCTTGGGTTAGTAGGGAATGGAGGAATGGGGTACAAGTATAACTACTATTACGACCATTCTTCCATTCCCTACTAACCAAAGGTAAATTTAGGGTTCCCGGATGTGATAGAAGGGTGGCATCCCTGAACTATCATGCGGGCAGATTTCATTTCCTTGACTCTGCTAGTTAGCTGTATTTAGGACTTCGGTTTTTCGAAACTACCCACACCCTAAACCCTAAGCCGCCATCTACTGTGAGATACCCTTCTGCTAAACTAGACCCTGGTCGACCATCATCGTTTGCGGCATACCAATAAATGCGTGTTATGCAAAGATTGGCCTAGCGAAAGTGAAGGCACGGGCCATGTAACGCAATTTAATTAGGGTTGAGTCTACGACAAGTTGGACCTAAAGTAGAAGCCAACAAGTTCATCTAGCTAACCCGAAGCCCTCAACCCTGAACCTAAATCCCGAACCCTGACCTCAAGTAAAGTAAACCCACTCGAACCCGAAACTCTTGGCCCAAAATCAGCGGATGTCGTGCCTTAAGGGTCCTCACATCGCCATCCAGGAGCTCGGTGGTATCCAAGCTGGCCACCTGGGAAGTTCTTTGATTCAGGGCCATTCATAAGGAGGCAAAGGGCTTAGGGGTCTTTCGCGTGTTCGGGCCAAGGCTCGGGGGTTTTAGGGTTTAGGGCTTTATGGTTTGGGGTTTCGGGTTTAGGGTTTAGGGTTTAGGGTTTAGGATTTAGGGTTTAGGGTTTAGGGCTTTAGGGCTTTATGGTTTGGGGTTTCGGGTTTAGGATTTAGGGTTTAGTGGGTCTGGGGATGGTGCATATTGCTACTGCGGCCACCAATAATCCGAGTTCGTGTTCAGGAAGGCAAGCTGGAGTAAAGTAGGAACACGACAGCAAATAACAAAGCGTTTTACCTACTATGTATGCCGACTATCCCTGTTGTGCTGGCTTGAATTAAGTTCCTCAGCAAGAGCTAAGCCCTCAGGTGCCGCCTCCTCCCCAGAAATTTTGCGGATGCGCAGCCACATCGCCTGCAGAAGTGCGCACTCCTAAAACCCTAAAGTGGTTTAGGGAGATGGGTTCAGAGATAGAGGTTGAGGGTCGACGAGGGTTTTGGGATCCACCTCGGGAGGTGTGTATTCTAGGGTAGGGAGTTTGGGATTTCTGATAGATCCTGAGTTTCAGGGGACGGACTCGGCTGCAAGCCGAAGAGTCCCGTAAATCCCCGGTGACGCTCGCAACTTTTCTGCCCGAACGGCCTTCGTCTCCTTAAGCTGCTAGCAACTTCTGTACAAGCGCTCAAGGGCAAA